CATCTAACACAAACTTGAGTATGTCATCCTTGAGAACATTTTAAACCATATCCCTGAAAAGTACACATTAAGAAGTTTTATGACCAAAAAATTATGGAATTTACAAAAAAAAACTTTTTTCTTTCTTTGTTATAATGGTGGGACCTTAGCCCATTTGGGAATAGGGATGACAACGGGGCGGGAAGAGTTTAACTATACCCGCACCCGCCTCCATGTAACACACCCGCCCCACCCAAACCCAATCGGGGGTAAAAATTTACCGCCCAGACCCGCCCCCAGTGGAGAACGAGTGCACCCGCCCCGCCCCTACCAGCAAAAAAATATATTTTTTTAATTACAATAAAAATTAATAATTTAATTAAAAAATTAATTAATTAATTAATTAAAATTTTAATTAGTAAATGAATATTAACTTAATTAATTTAATTATTTTAATTGCAATAAGGATATTAATAATTTAATTAAAAATATAATTAATAAATGAACATTAAAATAAGTAAAATAAAAGAATTAAACTAAAATGTATTATTCGGGGGCGGGGCGAGGGCGGGTCTTAGTGTCTCCCCGCACCCCCACCCGCACCCGTAGTTAAGAACCGGGTTTTTTCCGCACCCGCATCCGCACCCAATTAAATCAGATTTTTCCTGTTAATTTCGGGGCGGGCCCGGGCGGGTCTGAGTTTGTTTGCCATCCCTATTTGGGAACAACAATAAATTAAAGATTTCTTCACACTTAGTAACGTCGAAGGTATATGTTCTAGCAACAAAAATTTCATTTTTGGGCTCATCGAGATTCTTTTCGTTTGAGGGTTTCAGCAACTTGTATATGTAAGGAAGCTTTGACTTTAGTTCTGCCATATTAACCTTATTTTCCTCCACATACTCATACTTTGAGTCAAATGAATTTTCTATGATGTCAACTTCGACATAAGCCACCTTCTTTTTACTCAACATGGAGGTTTTTCTTTCTCAGCCTTCAATCACTCGACTTGTCGAACTCTATCGAGCAATTGGGCCATGTCTCTTAAGTATTGGGTGTCTAATTTTTCTTAATGGAGTAGTCGAGACCCCTTACCTCGAGTTCGAGTAGCTCATGTTCTGGAACTTGTGTAAAACATCTTGATTTCAAAGTTCTAAACCTATTGAGATAATCATCAATACTTTCATCCATCTTTTGCCTTACACTGGCTAATTTCATGAGACCAATCTTACATTGTCCCATGTAGAATTGCTCGTGGAATTCCCTTTCTAATTGGGCCCAAGTAAAAATGAAATATGGGGGAAGGGTGGTGAACCATGTAAAAACATTCTTAGTCAATGAGTTCGGAAAATACTTGATTTTCAGATCCTCATTGTTGGCTAAATAACCAACCTCAATTTGGTACAAGGCAACATGTTCGACGGTGGATTCATTAGTATCACCATTAAACTTGGTGAACTTTAGTACTTTCCAACCCTTAGGAAATTCAGTTTACTTTACATACTCAGACAATGGGGATATATAGTTTGGTCTAGAGAGGCCCACGTTGAGGCCATTTTGGACCAAAATGCGTTCGACGACGTTAATGATATTATCTTGTACCCCTGCATTGTCTTATCGAGCTTGTCTCAAGACTTGGTCAGCATCTTGGTTCTGTTGAACTAGGTTCATGTCGAAGCCTTCTTGCCTTTAACGGTTTCGACCACCCTATTTTTAGGGGATTAGCCCCCCGAGGAACATTAGGCACTGAAGTCGTTGGTGTTGGCGGCGAATAAAAAAATCGGTAATCCTACCCATTTGATAGGCTAATTGTTGATAACTCATATTCATGTTTTCTATAAGTGGGCTAAACATGTTACCTATCTATTACATAATCGTGTGGACCATATCATGGTTGCTTTCATCCATTAACTGTCTCATGACTTGAAGAGAGTTATTGGTCAAGGACAAAGCACCCCAGGGAGAAAAATACCCTATACCTCATGGTGGTTGTCCTAGTTGGCCAAAGTTGCACATTATGAACATTGAAACCAAATATAGATTAAAGGGTGATGAAGTTGCCATCACGTTTTCTGAATATACTGACGTACTAGGGCATGGGCTTGCCATCATTGCAGTTGATATGCTATATGACTATTCCTTATGAGGTAACAAGTTGCCATCTCCTAAGTTCCATAATTCCCTATAAAGGTTGAAGCGCTTGACGTTTGTGGTGAAGAAACCCCCACATCTAACGGTATAGAGTACGCCACTACTTGGCTTATGGTAGTAGGCATTTCCTTGATGGAGGTGGTATTCACATAACTGCCAACACTAGTAACTGTTAGTTGTATCGTGGGTTTTAAGTATTACTCTAGGAAGGGGTTTGATTTTTATGAGACATTTCAGAAATTTTCTTACCACTCCTCAAGTGCATACAACACAAGACTCACATATAGAGAAACACTACAAAGAAAATAACGTATGATGCCTATTTTATGCAAAAATATTCGCACAAAAGTGTCCCACTGGGCATGCCAATTTGTTTACCGGTGTTTTTGGTAAACAATCACGAGTTTAGAAAGTCTGTGATATTAACTCGAAAAATATCCAAAGCAATTTGTGCAAATGACTTCTGTGAACACACATTCATGTGAATTGAATGCAGTCGTCACATGAACGATAACGGTGTAGAAAAAGACTTTAAATGAAGTCAGGTTGTGATAAATGACAAGGAAAAATGCAACGAATGAAATTATACAAGGCAAAAGTAAAAGTACATGTTCCGTTTAAGGAAACAAAAAACTAATGAAAAGACTAGACGCAAACGCATACATGTTTCTCGCTCAATTGTTTCACTCTTTGACTTGGGTACTCAAGTGGTACGGAGAGTATGTATGAAATTTTGTGACCCTCGATCCCATGTATGACTCTGCTATTTATTCTATTAAAAAGTAACTGTCAACGACGACTATGACCACTAGCAAACTGTTGAATTCATTCCACGTCCATTTTTCAAGTTTCCACTAGTACATTTACGTGTCATCCATGACACTATCTATTTGAAACCCACATAGAATTGTAACTGCTTCCTACTTCATCACGAACCCTCAATGATAATTGCTCCAACATGCTATCGATGCTGATTATCAAGGACTATGGACTCGTAAATTTGCTAACTTTTTTCACTTCATGGGGTTCAGTCGACTGGTCTTGACGAAATAAAGGTCTCTATCGACTTCTCTTTTGGAGATTCTGGACATGTTTCCCAGCGATCCAGGTCTTGAGATTCCTTCAAACCATATTTCCCTATGTCGACGACTCTGTTGATCTCTCGTTATTAGTCCGTTGACGCTCCATCATTAATGCTCTTTAAAACACTTCATTAATGCTCCCTCACAGCAAATGTCTTCTCATTGACATTCTTTGTTGATTATCTATTAGCTGAAAAGTGAGTGTAACATCGACTCTACTTTTTTTGTTGACAAAAGTTATACTCTGTAGGGGAAAATCATTTTAGGAACTTGCCAGCATGTGAGAGATATAGCTGGAGCGCAATTGCTTTGGTCACATTGTACAAGTTTTTAGGAGATGCCTATACTTTCACCTTTTATTTACATATCTAATCATTTTATTATTAATAATATTAATGTTGTAATAATGTTGGATATGCGAGTATTTTATTATCATTGGTATGATATCATAGATTTAAATCCCAACAAACAGTGTTACACTTCCTTGGGCTATACAATTGACGTATAAGTAAGGAGCACTCAAGGTCAATGAGTTAGAGAGTATTTTGGATGCTCTTACTCCTACTGATGTCATATGACACCCATTAGAGACTCATAAATAAGAGTGTCTATTTGAAGATATATGTCTATATATGAGGTGTCTTATATGGTGTGAGACAATTGTTCCATACTCGTCAGGTAGGTGCATACATTAGTTTGGTTTTAGACAGAATATACCTCCTCCACCTCCTTATTATAACACACATGGTGTTGATGTGGAGTGGATTTGTTACCATTCCAGCGTGTACAAGGTGGTTGGTCAGACAATTAAGGCGAACATTTCATATGAAGTTGATGTTGGATACTTGGAGTGATATTATGGAGTTTCATATCCTCGGTTGGTATCCCAAGGATGCGTACAAAAAGTGTTTGTTTCTGTCTATGATGCATAATCGTCATATATGAGGCTTCCATTAATTGTTTCCTCGTCAATCGCTAATGATTTATAAACTTATTTCGAGCATTACACTTAGCTCAGAGCTATTCAATAGATTACTTGATTGATGTATTATTCATTTGAGATTATGTATTATTTATTTTAGCACCTAATATAATATAACCTCAATAAAATCTAACAAAATATAATTATTCTAAACTTGCACTACGTAAATTGTTGTTATTATTGTAATCATTCCCTAACATCTAAGATGTTGCTTCTTAAAAATGTCATATCTGATTTTTATCACGTATTTGTAAAAAAATATTCATATGTGAAACATTAAAAAAAGTTGAAAAAAAATACATATTAGATAACTTATAAATATGTTATCTAGTGAACAACCTGAAAACTACAACATAACTTTAATTCAAGTTATCCAATAAAAATATATTGTAGGATAACTATGATGTACTTTATTTGGTAAACAAATCACTATATCGAAATACTTAAATACAAGTTGTCCAATGAAAAAAAAACTTATTAAATTCTTTAAATAAAATTCTCCCATACAATGATGTAGGAGGATACAATTTTCTAGTTTCGAAAAAGTTAATTTAAAAAAAATTATGTGTGTAAAGCACGGGGTAAAATTTCCCTAACTTAGTATATTTAACTCTATCGTCCAAAGAAAGCATTTCTAATTCCGAAAAGAAAATATCTGAAATAGGAGCTATATATACTGTGCCGGGAAAACCATAACCATTAACCACCTGTAGACTAAAATCAAACAGAAATTCAAAATCCAGAAAAATATTCAGTTGCAGTAATAGTGAACCAAACAAATCCATATTCAATTCTCCAAAAGCAAAATGTTAATTCCTCTTTGCAACCCTTCTCTTTCACTTCAATCGGCCTCAATTCATGGAAAACCTAACAAGACAATCATCTCAATCACCAACTCTGCATCTTCCGGCAACAGAGTAAGCACCCAGCGAAGAACAATCTCAGCATTCGAAGCTCGAATCTCTCTCCTATTCGCTCTCGCTTCTCAATCCACCTCTCTCTCCCAGCGACGTAAATCTACTTCTTATCTCTTCATGATTTATTTTCTGTTGAAACTTTGTTTTTTTCCCCTCTTTCGTTCTTTTCATTGGTTTACATGATGCAGTTGTTGCCGATTTGGCTAACGAGACTGCTAAATACTTGTTTCCGAAAAGATTTGAAAGCAGCACTCTCGAAGAAGCGTTGATGACAGGTGGTTCGTTTTCCTTCTCAATTATGCAACAAATTTCGATTATTATGTAAATTCATTTAATTAGTTCGGTGCTTGAGTTTCTTTGTAGTTCCGGACCTTGAGACTATCAAGTTTAAAGTTCTGAGTAGAAGGGACCGGTATGAGATTAGGGAAATTGAGGTATATGATATAATTGTTAGTTTATTCAATATTTATTATGCTTTTAGAGTACTAGTTCTGTTTGATTATATATAATTTATCGGTTCAATTCGTTTTTTCTTTTAATTTCCAAGTAATTCCTTCATGTTTTCACTAGGGTATGTGCTTGTAAAGTGCATTGGTGCTTTCCTTTGTAAGAGTTTTTTTCTTAGTTAAGAACTAAATGTTTGTTTAATGGCAAATCACTCGTCAAACTGAAGCAAATTCAAACTGATATTATGGTTCGTCATTCAATTTGTAGCTTTCAAAACCTGAAGTACTGTGCTTGACAAGTAATGCAAGTATAATTCTTATTCTTAGTTTTTTTGAGTTGATATGCTACATATATCCCTTTGTGCCAATATACTTACAAGTTGCAAGTGCTGCCTGAACACTTCACTCCAATGCTGATTGGCGAGTGCTTTGCTATCACCGATAAACCATTTGGTCTCAGGAATGTGTTTGATAGGTAACCCCTTTATAAGTAGTTGGTAAATAGTTAATGGATTAGTTAGCGGGTGTGTTAGGGTGATAGTTGGGCCCAATTAAAGAGGGGATCATCTTATTAATTGAGTGATTTAAGGCCTTTTGGCATTGGGAGGTGGGCAAGGGCAAACCTTTGAACTTGTGTTTTCCATTGTTAAGTAATCAAAGGAATACTTTCTGTTTTTTGTAATAATACCATTTGGTTCCTATCAATCTCACCTACCCACATTGACTTGGTTATCTTTGCAGCCTTACTTTGTAGCAGAGGCTACAATGCCAGGGAAAAATGGTTTTGATTTCAGCGGTGCTTCTCAGTCATTTAATATTCTTGCTGAATACCTTTTTGGTAAGGTAGTAATACATTTTAGCACCGACTCACATTTGTGCATTACATTTTGTTTTACTGGATTGCATTTGGTTGCTGCATTTCTTGGTTTCAAATTTCTATTTTGAAAGAAGTTATAGATGTGTGCTGTTGTTTTGATGGTAGAATACAATGAAGGAAAAAATGGAAATGACTACACCCGTTTTTACCAGTAAGAATCAATCCGACGGGCTTAAAATGGATATGACAACTCCTGTGTTGACAACAAAGGTATTATGATTCTTTTTCATGGACTTTGTTAAATATCTCAGCTACATTCTTTACTTATTTGTTTTCATCAACAATGGTTTTAAAAGTGGTATATATAAGAAAAATAAGGGCAGAGAAATAATCTCACCTAACATATTCTATATTCTTCTGTAATGGCAGCGAAATATTTGTCAAGCTGACATTTTATGAGTACCTGGCACCAAAAACTCTTTTGAATTCACAGGTTCTATAAACACGGGACAGTAATATGTTAAGTTCAAGCTTTAAATGCCAAAGATTGGTTTGCAGTTTGGATAAGTTGATACTGTTCTTCTTCATCTTAGGAGTCAACCACATCTATCCCAAATACATGTTATATATCTTCTGGAAGTTCGACATTTAATTCTAGTATTGAATTGGGTGATATTTCTTAAATATATGTTTGTTTTAAGATGTTCTAATTTGATGATGGTATTATCTTAGATGGGAGATCAAGATAAATGGAAAATGTCTTTTGTCATGCCTTCAAAGTACGGTTCTAACTTGCCACTGCCTAAAGATTCCTCTGTGACAATTAAAGAAGTGGCTAGAAAAATAGTTGCTGTAGTTGCCTTTTCAGGTGTGCCCTTGCCTTAATACTTTGTATATAGTTTTTATACAAATTTAGGATTAAGATTTTAAAGTAATTATTACAGGAGATAGCACATATAACACACAATTTGGCTTATTCCATTCACACGTATATTGTATGCAAAGAAATGTTGGCAACACATCTTTTCAACATTCTCTATATTATTAAGTGAAATTCATGTGTGAACCTCAAATTAGGAAATGAGACCGGCATGATTTAGTATGAATTTCATTCAATTATATTATACTGCTAGTATTTCTATGTATAGATTTGTAGTCCGACACAATTCAGCAAATCTCTATATGTTTTTATGTGTGTGTGTGGGAGATCAACTTACTCTAGGAGTAACTCTACATTTAGTTACTCCGCTTAATAACTTTATTATAAATATTAGATTTTACCAATCCAACCGCTGAAATGAAAATTCTTAATGAGTAGATCAATTGCACAAATTTTTATAAAATTTTAACGGTTAGATTGATGAAATCTAATATTTATAATGAGTTATTAAGCGGAATAACTTAACACAAAGTTATTTGGATGTGTCTCATTCTCTCTTTTCTTGATGCACGTGTTGGGGTAATTGGATGAGTAAATCTGACAACTCTAAATATTTATTTGTGGATAAATTATTTACTGAAAATTCAAGTAAAGTCCTAAACCAAAAATATACTTTTCTTTCCTTTATACTGAATCAGGTTTTGTGAATGATGAAGAAGTTAAGCGGCGTGAACTGAAACTAAGAGAAGCTTTGAAAAATGACGGACAATTCAAAATTAAAGAGGGAACTTCAGTAGAAATTGCGCAGGTTAAATCCGTAACGCAATCTTTGGGTTAAAGGTCTCTAATACTTTTTCATCGATCTCTTCTCATATTGTAGTTACTTTTTTTATTTTGTTTCAGTACAATCCCCCATTTGCTCTTCCATTTCAACGCCGTAACGAGATTGCGTTGGAAGTGGAGTGGAAAAATCAGTAGGGAAAGTATTGGCCAATAAACAGTCTCAAGGTACTTTTGAAGTTTCGTCATTTCACTGTAAGCTGCAAAAGATACCTGTTCTTTATCATGAATCAAACTCCAATACAACAATACAAGATATTTCATACTCATTATTGATGCTTGTCTTTTTATTTTTTGTAAATAGGTCATGTGCTCAATATTGATGTTTGTCTATTTTGTAAATATTTGATATATGTATGTAGACATACGTGTTTGTATGTGTAATCAGTTTGGCTATAATGTGTGTGTAAATCTAGCATTGTAAAATTGTGGCGTTATATGGAAGTTACATTTTTTCCCAAAGAATTTATCAATGTATAGTTGAGCCTGAAAAGAAAAGAGTAAGAGAAATTATACAGTAGATTACTTTTCAGTGGTCTATCAAATATCGATACACCATGTACAAGTGATATGAACCCCTCTCATTTGTAAATTTTAGCAATAATATCCTCACAGCAATGTAGCCTACTCAATTTCGTAGAAGCAACCATCTGCATTTTGTCTTGGAACATGTTTCTCTGATAGCATTGCCATGAGAACTTACTGTCATGATGACCCCCATTACAAATATAACATATCCCAAAACAGTAAGTTGGTACTGTACCAAAATACAACCATATAAAGCCTTGAATGATTGTGTTTAGTTGAGCTGTGAAAGTTGGTACTGTACCAAAATTCATCCAATTGAGTTTTGGCCATTGTCTTGGCTGAGAACCTATCATGCATTGCAAGTATGTCTCTAAACATTAATTTACAATTTCTCTGTTTGAGGCTAATATGTAGTCCAAAACTTCATTTTGTGTCTGCTAGTTTGACTAATTCTAAACAAAAAACAATTGAAGAATAGTTGGTCTCTGTTATAGAATCCCACATCGAATGAGATATGATCTGAAAATATGTTTATAAGTGGGTCAGTCTTTACCTTACAAGTTAGTTTTGTAAAGTAGTACCCAACCACAATTTTAAGTTGATATTAGAGTCTATTCAAGATCCGATATTAGAGTCTATTCAAAATCCACTGGGCCACCTGCTATCAAGTTTTCGCTCTCAGGCCACCTGCCATATATTGTTTTGTAAGGTTGTGTTAGGTCTAAATATAGTTCTAAGATGGCAAGCTGCCGTAATAACAGTCTCTACTCTATCCTGTTGCTGCCATAATAGAAGTTGTTACAATTATTAATTCCCCTTAAGTTTTTTTATTGTCTTACATACACTGTTTTAAGTTTTAACTAATGTGTGACTATCATCTTGTTTAAGATTACGGAGACCGAGGAAATGGCCACATCTAAATCATCTGGATCATGATTTTCAAGACTTTCCTCTGCTTCAATGGTTCAAAATTCATATTTCCTTTATTCCCTCCCTTGAAACCTTAGACCTCGTTGAAGCCATCAGTTTCTCTTACTTTTACTGCCTACTAGTTCAAAGCACCTCCTTCTCGATATCAAATGCTAGTTGCTAAACACAGTATCTCAGGCTCTCAACCTCTCCTTGGCAATGAATTCAGATGTTGAATATGGATATCATCTCCAGCCCAGAATAATAAAGATGAAACGATTACTGCAGGTTACTAATAGAAAGGATTGATATGTAGTTCAACCACAGGTGCATCACTTTTAAAGTTGTCCACCTTATACTGCTCCCATAAGTAATGGCGGTTTACACGAGGCTACCTGCTCCTGCATTTGATAAGCCCTTTTTCCAATCTGGGTCTTTTATCTCTATAAACAAATTTCTTGATGGTTGTTAGATAGGAACCCCTAATTATATTTTGAAAAAACCTCTTTGGCGGGAGATTATAAAAACCCAAGATGATCGTGTCAAGTTATTCAGCTACTAGATTTCTTTGCTCGCGTTTCTTTTTATGTTTCTTGTATATCAGGTAAACAGGGTTGGATGCATAACAAACAGAAACTAAGGAGGGTGGAAATCTTACTAGAATGTTGTTTTATTTAAATTCAGACATTTACTTATCAGAACCGTAGAATCGGACGACCCTATGAGTAGGATCGCAATTCTGACTACCATGCTTGAGGCTACTAGCCTTCAACTTCTATTGATTTATTTCTACGTTAAATTTCTCACTTTAATCCCACAATCCTTCCTCCCTCTTCTTTCTCTCAAGGAAAGTGCACCTTACATTTCCCCTGGTAATAACTTATCTCAAAAACCCTTTTAGTTAGATTATGTCAAAATAGATGGCTCATTAACCTTACCCACCCATCTCTTTTCTTCTTTTTCACGATGAGATTAAATCTTAATATAGACGTTTTATTAGAGGTCACCTGTCTCATCAAATTATTTATGGAATAAATAGTAGTAACAATAATAGGAAATTGACTTCTCATAAGAGCAGTTTATTAACACCATTATAATCATATTTTCTCCATTAACCCAAGTGTGAATGGCAAACATAATCATACTTTCTCCATTATTATTTTTTATGGGGAGGTTATATTGGCATTTGAAAGATTCATGTGAATTCATACTTTACCTAAAGTGTTGGGCTAATAGCTGATGAAATAACTTCAAAACGTGATTTTGAACTCATATATTGTATTATTAATATCATTAGTTAATGGAAGTTTAAATTATTGAAGGGCTCTTTCAACAGCAATTTTCTCCATTCATAAAACATAAATTAAAAAATTTATTTAAAGATAGCAAAGTTACTCCCCTTTTGAACCAACATATGTATAGTTAAGAATTTTATATTGAAGGCTTAAATATGTGTTTATAAATAGAAGTAATTCTCATCTTACAAGCTACTTTTGTAAATTTGAATTAAATTTAATTCAAATTTTAATATAGTATTGGACCCTTCATTGAACTACCTAGTTGGTCATTCGAGTCACACTTCAATATTCAATTTTAGACTCAGTTTTATAAGGTTGAGTTAAGTTCAATTAAAATTTTTAGTCTTTTACTTTTCTGTTTCTTTCTTGAGTTTAATTACATTTTTAGTCCATCTAGTTTCGACAATGCATGATTTTTAATAAAGAGCACTGTGGATTTTTTTTTGTAGTTTATGTGTTGAAGGAAAATCTAAGAACACTTTGGATAACTCACAAGAAAAAAAGTATGTTCCACTAAAGCATGTAAGACAAGGAAGAATAATTGAAGGAGAGCCACACATAGCTACATAGGTGTAACGACCAGTGTCTTCAAATACACCTGCGATAAAACCAACCCAATGCTAGGATAAAAATCATACAGCAATGACATATGTGGAGCTATTACTTAACCTTTATAGTATTTGAGTAACTACATACAGCATTCTTAGTTGCTTAAATTTTTGTGTAAAATATTTAATGAAACAATAGAAAAGTGTTATTGTTTATCATCAAAAGACAATAAAAGTAAAATTTCCTCATCTCTCTCTAGACTCATATACTCAATGTAAATCAAACCTGCCAAGAGCAGTGCCCTCAGCCGTTGTGCGTTTCGCCTCCAGTCCTTTTTTCCAGATAGCGACCTCTAACAGCACTATCTTTCTGAATTCCTCCCTAACGTGAGACATGGATCATTCGTGACATCCCTCTCAAATTTGCAACAATGGGTGTTATAATTGGTTCATATTCATTTCGTTAGTTATTCCAAAAATATCTCATACTGATGCGTTGATGATGTGAGCAAGGAAGGATCACTGTTGGATACACTACATAACTTGGAAGTGGTGGTGACTGTTGAGGGTAAAGATTCAGTGTGGATGGTCCAGCATTAAGTTTCATGTGTTTGGTTAATCCAATTGTTGTAAAAAGTTGTGCATGATGCAAACACCATTTTATTCATTTATACTAAATGTAATTTTTTATATTCACACTTGAAATCATCACTTATTTTTGTGTACATACAAAAACACAACTTTTATATAAAATAACATCAACTTGATAATTTTATTAAAGGTAGCTTAAAATAAAACTTGCTTGAACATGTGTTATTTCAGTGACATATCTAAATGACATATTTTAAAACAAGTATTATGATACTTGATCATCCATAACGCTTGTTTGGCATATTTGAATTTGTCCAACTCACATTAAATAATGTTAATTGTGTTGTTAGAATCAAAATTTAATATAATTTCATGGAAATTCAAAGTTAACCTAGAAGAGAGTATATGATGAACTTGAAGAGTGAATATTTCTTTCTAATCCTCTATTTATATTCCTTTAGTTATTATACTACTGTACATAATACATGTTTGAAAAAGGAAAACTCTAATACCTAAGCACTATAAGAAAGAAACACAAGTATTGTAACTTGAAGCCTACTGCTAGATTACTTCAGGTATGCTTTTCAATACTGGTTTCCACTCCCCTAGAGAATCATCATTTTCTTTACACAAATCTTCACCATCCATTTCCTTTTCACCATGAGCAAGAGATAACATCTTGTCAACTGAAATCCCTCCATTATCTAACATATCTTGCAGTTTTTGCTTACTAATAACAAGCTTAATCCTAACAACACTACTCTTATGTACATCTTGAACTTCTGGATTTGCAAACCTCACCTTCTTGACCCCTTTTGGTGATGCTGGTAGTGGAAGTGGCAAAACCTCTTCAACTATGGTTGCTGTTTTGTATTCAAGAACTTTGCCATCGGTTTTTATGATCTTCATCATGTTAACTTGTTGCAGCACCAAGCAATTTCCCATGTTTTTTTCTTTAGTGGGTGCTTGATAGAAAAGATGATATAGTTATTAGTTTATTTGCAAGTGATTTAGGAGAAATGTTTTGTGCAATATATAAACCACTTGGTTATTGAAAATGCCCCTATGGTATTTAAAATATTACAAAAAGACCTAATTTTGTCTTATTTTGAAGTGAATCAAGTATGGTAAGTGATGATCCTGGGCGGTTGTGTTGTTGGGAGAGTGAGTGAATTTTGGCCAAAATGTGTCATTGTCATAATAAGAGCATGTTGGATGGTGTAGGGCCCTTAAAAGCTCAAGTGGTTGATTACTTGTATTGAGT